TATCCTCAATTCAATACGTCTACTCTAGAGTTAGTTACAAAAGACATTAAAATACAATTTAGGAAGCAGTTACCTTCGTATTCCTCTTCGTTCTCGAGATAATCGTCATCCAGCACATTCAGTAGTCTTAGCACTGGAGTCGGAAGCATCACCAGATCTTCAATATGAGGGGCTGTTAAGGTTCATTGTAACATGGTTAAATGTAAACTCACCAAAATAAATGGATGAACACGAGGCAAAACTCTGATGTCTTATCTGATTGTCAAATGACCAAGAAAAAAATAAAGACGTATACAACTTACCGAAAGGAATGCTAAAGAACGGGCTGCACAATGCCATTTCAGCAGGAATTCTTCTGCTTGGATCATCATGAAGCATGCTAAAACACAAAAACACATCTTTATAATTATGGCCAATCTTTTGAAAATGAGGGGCACCTGGGTGGCTCAGTCGGTTAAGCGTCTGCCTTGGGCTCAAGCCTGGGATTGAGTCCCGCATCAGGCTCCCTGCTCAGCGTGGAGTCTGCTTCTCCCTCTCCCTCTGCCTGCCGCTCCCCAGCTTGTGCTCTCTCTCTCTCTCACAAAAATAAATAAAATCTTTTAAAAAATCTTTTGAAAATGAAACCATTAAAGAAAATTAAAATGTCTAAATGTTCATTACAACATTAATTATATTAGCATGGCTTACTGAGCCATTCACCTACAAAAAATATAAAAGCTATTTCTTTTTTTCTTCTTAAGATTTTATTTATTTATCTGAGAGAGAGAGAGCACAAACAGGAGAGGGGCAGAGGGAGAGGGAGAAGCAGACTACCACTGAGCAGGAAACCCGACACAGGACTCAATCCCAGAATCCGGGATCATGATCTGAGCCGAAGGCAGACACCTAACCGACTGAGTCACCCAGGCGCCCCAAAGTTATTTCTGAGTAAATGGTTCGGTAACTCATGAAACAAACCTATGGCACAATATTATATTTTAATTTAAAATGATGTTTTTGATTAATAAATGCAACATGGGAAAGTGATCCATACTATATAACATTAAGTGAAAAAAAAAAAAGCTAGACGTAAATTTAGGGTAATCCAAATTAAAAAAAATAAAAAGAAGATGACAGTGGTGACATGATTTTTGAATTCTATCAAATCCCGCTAATAAGAGCACAACTTGGTAACAAAATCAAAAACCCATGGGTGACATTTACAACAAAACTAAGTAACCCCAAAAAACGCTAAAATACAAGAGGCTAGGGACAAACCATCAATAGTAGTAAGCCTTGCACCAGATCAACATCTGTGTGGAAGGAAGCAGAGAAAAGCAACAGATAATCTGATGAAGCAAAGAAAATAACACAAAATATCCAATAGGTACTCACTGGAAAGCTCAGTAAGCCAAATGGAGAAAAGCAACTATAACTACAAGGGGTTATACATTCTAATTCCAAGTGAATGCAAGGAGTCCTCTGTAAAATCTGAAGGGGTTGGAATAATCTAGACATTATGACTTCTCAAAACTAACTAGCTGAAGCTCCCTCCCAGGGCAAAGTCCCTACAGAGAACAGAAATCCTGAAAATGGAATCCAAATTGAGTAGGAGAGGGTAAATAAAAATTGACACCGAGAGAGAGACACCAGGAAAAAAGGAGTGGAGGGGAAGAGCCAGGAGATTTCAGAATAAAAACATCCCCCCCTTTTTAACATTACACAAAAACAAGAGAAGGAGCCCTATACAATTAGAAAAGTTATCCCAACTACACCTTCTTCTGTAAGTTTAGGAAATGAATTTCATGTAAAAATGAACCACATAAAAAGCATTGCTAACAAAATTATTACACAAAAGACAAGAACGGCAAAACGATAGCCCCGAGGCAATGAATGCATGCCAGAAAGACATGATCAGAACACAGATTGACACTATAACCTACCGTTTCAAAATGAGCAAAAGACGTTTTTTAAAAAGATAAAAGATATGAAAGAGCAACATAAATTTAAATTAGAAAATCTCAATAATTAGGTAATAGAACTCAAGAAAGATTAGAAATAGAACAAAAAAAATCATTTCATAAAATAAAGCTAGAAGAACTATAAGGATGAACAAACACAAGAGACAGTATCTTAAAGATAAATAGAAGGCAAAAAAGAACATTTTTAAAAATCAAAAAGAAATAGGGACGCCTGGGTGGCTCAGTCAGTTAAGTGTCTGCCTTCAGCTGGGGTCCTGGGATCGAGTACTGCATTGGGCTCCTTGTTCAGCAGGGAGCCTATTTCTCCTGCCTGCCGCTCCCCCTGCTTGTGCTCGCTCTCTCTGACAAATACATAAAATCTTAAAAAAAAAATCAAAAAGAATACAAGAGAAAAAAAATTGAAGAGAAAGTAATAAAAATGAGTACTGTCAAAGAAAATCCAATGTGTAGAACAGGAGTACCTGAAGGAAAAAACCAAAGCAAGAGAATGAATACTAAAAACAGTAATTTAAGGGGCGCCTGGGTGGCTCAGTCATTAAGCGTCTGCCTTCGGCTCAGGTCATGATCCCAGGGTCCTGGGATCGAGCCCTGCATCGGGCTCCCTGC